AGAGGTGAGTCCCAGGTACACGGTTTAGGTCTCTGCGCAAGTACAGATTTGCTGTGCAGCCTGGGCTCTCATTCCCCCTCTCCGGGCCTCAGCTTCATCAGCTAAGAAATTCGGGAGCTGAATTGAAGGATGTGTAGGGTCTTTCCGGCCCCCCTCCTCTTCCCCCTACTCCTTATGCAACACGGGTAAAGCTACAACCACCGAAGAGCAGCTTTCAGTGCAATGAGAAAGTGAACCCACCTTCTGTTTTCCGAGCAGCCATCTCCAGGGCTCCCCAGGCTCCTTCAGGACGGCATTAGCATTCATCTTACTCGGGAACACTTCCCTTTGCTGTTCTTTGATGCTTGGAGAGTTGAGAACTCATGGTGCTTTTTTTTTTTTTTAAGACTGTAACGTGTTTACAAATCTAAATGAAACTCTATATTTCAGACCCAGCCTTGTGGTTACAAGTGGCTTCCTCCTTTGGCTCTTGCCTCCACCCAGAGAATCCAAGCAAGTCTCAACTTTCTTTGGAGAGACAAAAAGCCTCCCCAGCCACCCATTGCCAGATTCCTGTTAACCTTTCATTAAGCCTGCTGACAGCTGGCTCCAGCTCTTCATGAGTTAGTTCAACACGGGCCCATTTCAATGGGTCCCACCTGGCTTCATTAAGATTCCTGCCAGCTTCTCCACTAGCAGCTTCCTCGGCAAATGCAAATAAGATTCCGAGTAAGTAAGCTGGGGACAAGGGAAGATTGAGCTATAAAGGGGTTGGCGTGGGAGAACCATCAAAACGCTCAGGTTGCCGTGGATCTGGGCAAACTAAAGCCCATTGCAGATCCACGCAGGTCAGGGCTTCAGTTCCACGTACACGAAGACTTCAAGGACCGTCCTCACTGTAAAGTCCACGGTCGTGGTTAAGAGCATGGAGTTCTTCAGGCCTGGTTCCAGACCGGGCTCTGTCACCAGGGGGTGGACTACGTGACCGTAAGCAGGTTTCTTCCACTATCTCTATTTCTGTTTTCTAGGGAATAATATACCTGATTCACTGGGCTGATGGGATTCCATGCTACTGCACTTCCCACATGTGTTTTGTCTCATTTAGGTTTTTAAGCTCCTTAAGGGAAGTGCTGCTTCTGCCACCCACCCCTGCTGCCCCACAGATACTGGAAGTAGTCTGTCCTCAGCTACCAATCCATCCTGACTGCACAGGGAGGGAAAAAGGACCAACTACCCAACAGCCTCCTGTGATCAAGGAGCCTCAGTACAGGAGTTATGTGTTTATTAACTCATCGTTTTGTGAATCCCACCCCCCACTGCCTAGATCTTTGAGTCTCAAACTGGCTGCCATGTTCTGGTCCGGGGCCATGGTTTGCTTGCCTAGGATACCATTTCACTAACTGTGAATGTTCGTGCCTGTAAGTGGAAACACACACATTCCAAGGACCACATCCCTCCCCACTGCTTCGCTCCTCTGCATCAGCTGCCTGGCCTCTGAGTTTGCCACCCCAGCCTGAGGCAGAGCCCACCCACCCCCACCCAGCCCACAGGTGGAAATCGGGGGCGGGAAATCTCACACCTGCTTTCAGAAGATCCCTCTGCTGCAGCGTGGAGAAGCTACCACAGAAGTGCAAGCAGAAAGTGATGCCAGCTTAACCTAGGTCTGACAAAGACTTCCACTGGGACCAGGCGCAAACGCCCGCCCCTCCACGTGGCCACGCCCACCACCGCAGAGCCTCGCATCATGGAGAGTCTTTTCTTAAAATCTCAATCCTCCTGTGAGGTGTTATTATGCTGCAATTGTTCTCAGACTCTAACGTGCACAATCACCTGGAAAGCTCCTTAAAACACAGATTGCTGGGCTCTTTCAGAGCCATTTCAGAGCCAGTAGGTGTGGGGCGGGGACGAGAATTTACAAGACTAACAAGTTTCAGGTGTTGACCAAGCTGCTGCCGGTCTGAAGGGCATCATTTGAGACCCCCAAAGCTACAGCAGTGGTTCTCAGCCCTGGTTGCACGTTAGAACCACTTGGAGCGTTAAAAAAAAAAAAATCAGGTAAATCAGACGTCCAGGCCACACCCCAGATGGATTACAAAAGGATAGGACTCAGAAATTGGCATTTTAAAACACTCTCCAGTTAATTGCAATGTTCAGCTCAGGTTGAGAACTACAGAGGTTTGTAGAGGCCATTACCGGTTCTAAAATACTGCAACTACTCACTTAAATGTTTCTTAATCTGACCAAGGAGTTGCAATACTATACCTGGGAAAAGACTGAAGATGGGCCGTTTGCAAAAGAGAAGACTACTCATTGAGCAGAAATGCTCTGTTCACGAGGTATTGGCTGTCTTCTTTTTCTAGTCAGACTCAAGTTGGTGGGGACATTGATGGTGGTGGTTGGGAAGACGGGTGGGGAGCGTGAGCAAATTTCGGCGTGTCTCACTCACTCACAAAGAGTAGAATCTGACTATCTAGACAAGGGCAACTCGTCCCACTCCATTTTCCAGATGGGGACACTGAGGCCCTGCACCTGGCTCTAGAACCATCCACCACCACTAGCCCCTACCCCCAGTTTCTAAATTTCAACTTTGTATGCTGGTCAAGCCATTTCTGGAATTTAAACTAACATAGAGGAAAAAGCCAAGCCAAGCCAAGCCAAAAATAAAAAAAGTGCTGCTAATTGTTTCCTTCATTAGGCCAAACCTGCCACGCCACTCAGCACAGAAAGAGTGAGTGTGAATGAAAAATACTATAAACCATATCAGCAAACATAGAATGCTTAAACCACCAAGTCATCAGCGGCTGCCACCACACCCCCAGTGAAGACAAGCCTGCAGCCCGGCCTCTGCAGCCACTCACAGTGGTGCACTCTGAGCGGACTCAGAGTAAGAAAGGACAGGACATTGGCCCTAGGTAGCTAGGTGCTTGTCAAAGGAATGAATTCAATAAGCCCAAATGTTTGCTTCCTCCCATAAATAGAAAAGC